TTCACACAACACACATAGGGGGTGTGTCTAGACTACATGGCACCGTCGATGAAGCCATGTAAAGTAGTTTACTTGATATAGTCAATGAAGCGGGGATTTAAGTAATCACCTCTTTATTAAAATAAAAATGGCTGTAGTGCTGTGCAAACAATCACCTGATCCGGCTCAGCGCGGTAGTCTAGACGCACCCAGTGTAAATTATAAGCACAATTCCTTTGGGCAGAAATAGCATTGTAAAGTAATATTTCTTTATACTGTTTCCACCTAATTGACACTTAATTTGTTCTGCATATTCATCTAAAGAAAAAAATCATGTAAGGTTGAAAAGTTTTCTTTTTGTTGTTCTTGTTGTTTTTTAAAGTCCAATTCATCATGACTCTAGGAATTTCACATTATCCTAACCCAGGCATCCTAAAACATGAGCTTTTTTTCTCTGAAAATTAAGAAGTGGCACCTTCAGTTATATGAATTCAGGGGAAACCTTTCCCCCTAGTAATCCTGATCGATGCTACAGGGAGGAGAGATTTCCGACCAGAGAGGTGGTTTGATACCTCTCTATACAGACAGTATAGATGCTTTAGCCAGAAAGAGAAAAAGAAGGAAAAATTAGATTAAACACTCAGGATAGAATCATTAAAGTCAGTGCCAAAAGTCCTACTAATTTCAATACAGCCAGGATTTCATCCATAGAAAATAATTCTTCGTGACTCCAAAGAGTAAGTGGATTCAATTCACAGAGGGAAAGGTCAAGACATTATTTATTAGTCATGATTTTCCTTTTTTGAAATCTATTTGTATTTCTTAGCTTTCTTGACTTCTATTTTTTTTAAAGTGCTATAATCCTCCACCCCTAAAGAATGTAAGAAAATAACCCCAGATATTGCTATGGCCAATATCCACCTATAAAAAACAAGGAGGAATAATGATAGACATCAACTATTTCATTGTATGCCCTGTAGTAATAGCTGTGATCCAGCTCAGATAATCAGGGATGAAAATTCCTTCCATCAGATCTACAATAGTTTGCTCAGTTTCCCAGGTTTTGCCCCCAGCTAATTACTTGGTTTGTTTTTTTATCTATTGGCTAAGTATAATTTTAGGAAACTGGTGCTGTAGGCCTAGACTAGACAACAGGAAATCAAAAGGTGTGAAATGTAATTCACGTTTCCAATCCATCTCTAGATCTCTCTTTATACTGTCTCTCATTCATACTGACTTGCTTTCACTTCTACATTTATTGACCTTTGGGCACACATTTAAGTTGTCTTTAAACATTTCGTATTTCTCCTCTGCATATTTTCCATTCATTTCTTTATTCCTTTCTGCCTTATCCATCATTTCCACATTCTTCCAAGATGTGCTTTCCTGAAATCCCATGTCCAGGCGTTCCACATCTTTTCTGGGCCCATTATAAACCTAATGACACTTATATGTTGTAAGTTTTTCTACTGAGTCTGCAAATGTTTACAAATGTTTTTTGAGCCTACAAATGTTTTTTGAGCCTTATTGACTTTACAAGCATGCCCCACATTTTACCTGGCTAGATGAAATCTCACATTACTAGTTCTGTGTCAGATGATCAACATGAATCAGTCTCCTAATCAGGTTGCTCTGATGAAAGTGTTGCCATCAACTGCCTTTATTATCTGTAATTATGAACCTCAAGCCTGGGTTGATGCTGATCTTCATGCAGGTGCACTTTAGGGAAGCAGGAAACTAGGAACACATCACCACCTTGAGCAGTCTACACAAGGGCTAGAAACAATTGAAGGGTCCTGTGGAATGGGGTACATGCGTACTGTTGTCTCCATATCCCCTGTCTTGGTTTTATATCTATTTTCTCCATCAAACTATGCTCTTGTTCTCCCATTTGTTTTTGTTCTTTCTATAATTATAACAGTAAATTTATATTCTATTTAAAACACTACATTGACTAAAGTTTAAACAATCAGAAGCCAAAAATGGCAGTTAAAAATGGACACGAAAAAGCTTTCACTCTGCCCTCGTTGTGCGTGTAGACTATGATACATGCAATTCCTTTAATGACACAGGTTGAACCACCCTGGTCCAGCACCCTGGGGAGCCACGTGGTCCCAAACAAAGGAATTTACCAGACCTGGGGAGGCGTGATCTCCACCGGCTCACCTGCCTGGCTCTGCTGCCTCACAGGGCTCTTCTCCCTACCCCCAGTCCTGTGTGGCAGCAGCTGCTCCCAGGTTCCCTGGCCCCACACACTGCAGCAGCTGCTCCCAGGATTTCCTGACCCCACCCCCATACCACGCAGTGACAGTTGCTCCTGGGGCTATCAACCCCCAGGTCACAAGCCCTGCAGGCTGCCGCTGACTAGACTGGCTCTGCTCCCAGCCACACTCAACCTCTAGGGCATGGGCTTTCTGAACTAGGAACATGTGTGGTCCTGCCAGACCATGGATGTTGCCGAACCAGGGAGTCCTGGACGAGAGAGGTTCAACCTGTAGTTGAAACCGCACAGAGGATTTATAGATGCAGCCTGCAATTAAGCATCCAAACTGGAATTTGGCCAGGAGACTGGATTTAATACCTATAATCTTACTAAAAGAGCCAGGATCTTTGTTGCAGGGATCCCAGTTTTACAAATGAACTAACATAACAGCTTTCAGCACAGCCCTGAGGAAAGGGGTTGTATAAGCTGCCCCCCAAGGAGTAGCTCCAAGAGGCAGTGACTGTGACTCAGAGATGGAAAACCTTGTGAAGGCACAATTCCTGCCTTGCAAAAAAAGGGATGGCAGCCCCTGACAGGATGTGGATTGCTCCTGGTGTGCACGGCTAGTTCCCTGGTCTGCAAGCATCTTCATCTTTGCATATGCATCGATAGTGAGCCTCAGGTGGCATGTGCCCTGAATTTGGTCTGTGTCTGCACTGTGAATGCTGATCTGTGCCCCCTGCATAGGAGGGCAGAGCCTAGACTTGTGCTCTTTGCCAATCTGCTTGATAACAGGGTGTGGGGGGATTACTTGACTAGTAGAGGCTGTTCGCCACAGCAGGCAGGTTGATGTGGAGCATGGATTGACCCAGGAAGATAAGGAGACATAGAGTTCCTAACAAATATTTCTTTCTATCGCTCCCAGATTTTCTTTAAAGTGGGCTTCCAGCCAAACATTAGCAAAGCTTGATGCTGCTTAGCGTAAGAGACATGATAAGAGTTCCCTGGTCCTCTCCGTATCCATTCAGACCCTGTCTTCTCCTCTCTTTACTCTTAAAAATCTGGAACAGTTTCTAAATTTACTGAATCCTGTGTGAAGACACCATCTTAGATATGTGAAATATTTGATTCTTAAACCACATCTTTAATTCTTCACCCATTGGGATTTCATTCTCAGGTTTCTCCGCAGCCTTTTTTCCTGCTGCAGCACAGTTGCACCCAGCAGTTTAGCAACAATGTACTATGTATAAACTCTGTGGGCTCGTCTACACTGGCCCCTTTTCCGGAAGGGGTATGTAAATTTCACCAGTCATAGTAGGGAAATGCGCGGGGGATTTAAATATCCCCCGCGGCATTTAAATAAATATGTCCGCCGCTTTTTTCCGGCTTTTAAAAAAGCCGGAAAAGAGCGTCTACACTGGCCCCGATCCTCCGGAAAAAGCGCCCTTTTCCGGAGGCTCTTATTCCTACTTTGAAGGAAAGCCGGAAAAAAGCGGCGGACATTTTTATTTAAATGCCGCGGGGGATATTTAAATCCCCCGCGCATTTCCCTACTACGACTGGTGAAATTTACATGCCCCTTCCGGAAAAGGGGCCAGTGTAGACGTAGCCTGCTTGTTTGTGAGGGTGAATAAGGAAGGGGCAGCCCAATGTTCTTCTTTTGCTCTATTATTCTGTGTGTAAAAATCACCCAAACATCTGTGATCTAAGAACACAATAAATGAGTCACTTGCCAGGAGAACTTCCTACTATTTTTTAAACGGCATCGCTTCGTGCTTTTGCACCTACTGCACCACCTCCCAATTAAATCGCTTGGCTTGAAAAAGGCACTAGCTGACCTTTTGACAGCTTCCTTGTCTGAGCATCTGACAAGGTCATTTCACCAGACACACTACACAGCAGGCCTGTTCTTATTTCCTAAAAAGCTACTATTACCAATTTGCAAATAGACACAGAATTCAAGATGGCTTGAGATAAGGAGCTTCTTATGCAGTCAGGCTTTTGTTGCATGAAACAATTTTCATTTTACATCTTAATTACAGCCCAAATAATTTTCAGAAATGACATAGGCAAGAACCAAAAGTACCCGTGGCCATTGCAAACACGTGGCTCCATGTGAAGACCCAGTAAGAGTCATGTGTCCGGCATGTGCTCTTCCTAGGACCAAATTGTGTAGCGCACCAGTGGCGATACTAAAGGCCCTGGCACAGTTGCCCCTCCACCCTGTCGATAGGCCTGCTGCCTATAAGTTATAAAGTGTTGGTAACACTAAAACTAGAAGTATCTATCCCCTCAATCTCAATTCCTTTCCCCCCTTCCATCTCCTTTTATCTATTTACTCCCCATGTATGACAGGATGGCTACAGTAATTTTTCTTTATTTCTGTGATCCATACAGCCAGGGCAAACCAGATATTTCCTTCCATAATCTTCTAAACATGGCAGTTGAGGGGAAGGATAAGATTTTTCTCAGAATAAGCCAAGAGAACACACTTCTCTGTTGTTTTGTTTGGGAGTAGGCTTAGTTAGCAGATAAATGCTGATTCCATACATTCAGCCTCTGATTCCAGGCTTATTGAAATCATTAGTAAAACTCAAAAAACAGTACGGGTCCTCAAAAACCAGCAGGCCAGTTTATTGCTACCACATAAAATTAAATTTACAAGTAAGCAGATCACAATGAGCCAACCATTATACTACACTTGCTTGCAACAGACTGTGTGTACTTGTTCAATGAAAGAATGATGGATGTCTCTAAATCAAAGCCTATTTTGTTATTTGTTTTTTGCTTCTTCTTCTTCTTTTTTTTTTTTTTTTAGGTCTCAAGTCTAAAAGTATTAATGAACTCATCAAAGACCTTATCAGAGAACAATTTAAAGTCTTCCAAAGCGACATGCAAGAGACAGTGGCCCAAATTTTCAAGACCGTGTCTAGTTTATCAGAGGATCTTGAGAGCACAAAAGAATTCGTCAAACAGCTGAATGAGACCCAACAAAAGTTTGCCCAGGAGAAAGAAGACAGGACAACAAACAATGAAATCTTGAAGCTGAAGAGTGATCTGTTACAGATAAAAGAGGAGATGAGCTTTGCTTGTGACAAGCCCATCAAAGAACTACAGGCAAAGCAGAAATCCTTGGAAGTTGACTTGGAGCATGAGCAGTCAAGAAGCACCATTTACTATGAATCTCTGAATAAGAGTCTTACAGAGATGAAAGAGGTCCATGAGCAATTGTTATCAGCTGAACAGATGTCAGACAAAAATGTCCCTCCAATAGATAAAGCCGTGGATGATAATGTTACAGAATATATTCTCACTCTTCAAGAGAAAGTAAAGAAACATGGCCTAATAGTGCTGCAGCTATATGATGATTTAAGAGAACAAGATATCAAGATCAGTAATCTTACTGTAAGATTAGCAATTCAGAGAGATTCTCTTCATACAGAATGTGAAGACATGTTGTCAAAGTGCCAGAATGATTTCCAAACAAAGCTAAAAGGCACAGAAGAGAATGTGCACGTCTTAAACAAAACCCTAGCTGCTATTGTTTTTCCATTGGACAATAAGATGGACAAAATGAATGAGCAAATTAATGATTTGTGTTATGATATGGAGATCCTCCAGCCCTTGATTGAGCAGGGACCACCATTTAGTCTGACAGCAGACTATGAACAGCAAATTGAAGCAGAAGCAATCAGCCGGAAGTTGGAAAACCTAACTACTGTAGTGAACAGTCTGAGTTCCACCATGAAAGAACTTGTCAAAAGTCAGGAGGAACTTAAAAGCGAGGCTCAAATTCGAGATGAAATCTTTGACAGACGTATTAATGAATGCCTCGTGGACCTAGAAGATGGCTTAAATAAAACTATGATCATTCTAAACAATGCTGTTGATTCCATTCAGGATAACTTCGTTCTGAAGGATACTCTAAATGTCCTGCAAAATAAGACTGAGGCCTGTTGTGGTGATGCTGAGAAAATGGACAGCATATTGGCATTTATTCCCCAGTTCCAGCAGATGAATGAGTCCTTTCAGACACTGGTCAATGACAATCAAAGGCACCAGTATACTTCAAAAGTAACTCAGGATCTTTCAGATTTTCCACATGAAGAGTATGAGGGAAAAAGCTTCTCTGGCCTCAGAAAAGTTTACCAGGTTTTAAACGAAACATCATTCAAAATGGCTGAGCATCGACAAAACATCAGTCACCTAGAAGAAATGCTGGTACACTCTTCAGAGGTATCAAAAGATCAAGAAGTTCGGCTACAAAGCATAGAGTCAAAAGTAACCAAGCTTTTGACTAATAATTGTGTTTCTCTAAAAAAAGGCAAAGTTGCTTCAACAGAACAAGAACAGCTTCAGACACTGAGTTCAAGACTCAAGACCCTGGAAGCCAAGTCTATCCGTGTCTCAAATAATATCCCTCTTTTAAACAAGACTGCTTATGAAGCTAGGCAGCTGTGTCAGGATGCCTCAGCCAGCATTCAAAAAGTGAATGCTAGTGTACCCCAGTTAATTAAACTTGCTCAACCTGATATCCCACTGCTACAGAGAGGCCTGAAAGAGCTCATAGAATCTGTGTTAGAAATAAAAACAGGGACTGTCCTTTCTAATTTAACCTGGTATGTGGATAAGTCCATGGCTGACGCTCTGAGCAATATTTCCAAACTTCAGAAGCAGATGAAACAGGCTGTAAAAAAACCAGCTGTTGCAAAAAAAGGAACAGTGAATGCCACCACAAGTCTGGCAGGCCGAAGCCAGAGGAACACGGACAATACTGTAGAATCAGGTAATGCATTTTGCACTACTGGGGTCTTTAATGTTATAATAAAGGCTTATGTAATCAGTGTGACTGGCCAAGTCAATTAGCAGCCCCAACAGAATTGGCTGGAAAACTTGACTAAAAATGAATAGGAGTAAATATGCATCAGATCAATCTCGACATGTCTGTGACAATGGGTGTCTATACACACCAGCTACAATCCTGCAGGGGTCCTGTGCCAGATGACTTGGCTTTATGGGGCTTGGGCTGCAGGGTCATTTAATTACAATATAGATGTTCTTGGCCTCTGAGGATAGAACAAGAAGCAATGGGCTTAAACTGCAGCAAGGGAGGTTTAGGTTGGACATTAGGAAAAAGTTCCTAACTGTCAGGATAGTCAAACACAGGAATAAATTGCCCAGGGAGGTTGTGGAATCTCCATCTGTGGAGATATTTAAGAGTAGGTTAGATAAATGTCTATCAGGGATGGTCTAGACAGTATTTGGTCCTGAGGGGAGGGGAGGGGACTGGACTCGGTGACCTCTCGAGGTCCCTTCCAGTCCTAGTATTCTATGATTCTATGATTCTACGGACGGGAGCCCAGGCTTTAGGGCCACATGGGTGTGTCAACACTGTGGCTCTAGCACGAAATAAGCTACGCAATTTGAGCTACGTAAATTATGTAGCTTATTTTGAGCTTAATTCTAAATAGACCAATATTCCGACAAGTCCCTTAATCCTTGTGGAATGAGGTTTACCAGGACGTCGGAATAGCATGGCCGTTATTTTTATTGCAATTCGAAATAACGGATGTACTGTAAAGATGCAGCAAATGCTATTTTGGGATACTGGATGTATCCTGAAATAGCACTGCAGTCTAGATGTACCCCATGAGTGGAAGTGTCCCAAAGCTTGGTCTGCAGCCCAAGCCTGAAAGTCTATACCACAGTTAAATGACCCAAATCATTTGAGACCAAATCATTTGGCATAGGTCAGCTACAAGTGTCCAACTGCATTGTAGACATACTCTTAAAATGTATTCGTCCTCTGGAAATGGACTTTCTACAAAAGACCTCCAGATGTCTCATGGTTTAAGATGTAAAAATAAAGATGGATTCGTTTGTAAATACCATCCCAGCCATTCTAATTCAAATGTGAATCTGAAAATCAAGTGACAGTCTAGTTAACTCATAAGCTATAAAGATTCTGTAGTTGAATGTCAGAATAAAGGTGTGAAAATCAGAATAGGAATCTAATTTGCTTTTCAAGAGTTTTGTCAGCTTTTCAGTACTAACAGGAGTAAAAAAAATGTAGTATGGGCCCCAGTCTGTAAACACTTACGCACATATTTATGTAAGTAGTCCATTGATTTTATGCGGCTACAGCTAGGTACTTCAAAACATCATTAAGATTTGTAGTGTGCTTAAAGTTAAGTCTATACCTAAGTATTTGCAGGATCAGCGCTCTAGTCTAGTCAGTAAAACTGGCGTGACTGGGTATATCTAGAAAGCAGATCCTGATGATTAGGAAGAGGCCAGTTTTACAAAGGCACTTTTTGGAGAACCACACGTGAATGGTTTCCTAACTTCATGTCAGAAGTCTAATAGCAAAAATAAAAATACAAAATATGAGGTACAATATTGGGCATCAGATTTGACTGAAATTCAATAATACAAACAAATGCTTAGTACATGTCACTTCAGGAAAGTGAAAAAAATTAGAAATAATAAGATGCTGGGTAAATTTTTCAAAAGTGGTTTAGTGACTTAGGAGTCTCTCACATTTATCAATGGGCTCCTAAGTCACTAAGGCGCTTTGAAAAAATTATTAACCGTCTATGCTGGATAGGCAACAGTAAAGAGAATTAAAATGTCCATATTAGATGTCCCTGTTATATGTACAGGCAGTCCCCGGGTTACGTACAAGATAGGGACTGTAGGTTTGTTCTTAAGTTGAATCTGTATGTAAGTCAGAACTGGCGTCCAGATTCAGCCGCTGCTGAAACTGATCAGTTTCAACA